GCCAGATTATAAATGCTTCCTATAGTTTCAAGCTAGCGATAGATTGGGAGCGCTTTTTGGTGTATGTATTTTAGAAGACAAGGGCCACGCGCGCAATGTGTTGTGGGATATCGTATATCAAGTATCAAGTGTGATTTACAAATTTTCGACTTTTTCGTTTGAGCATATTTTGCCCAAAGAATATCGTGTTTTTTATCATATTTGGTTCTGGATAAGTGACTCCGAATCCTGCCAAAGGCTTATTGATCTCAGGTATGAAATATTACTGTTTATATCGTATAATTATAAGGTACATCGACCGTATTTACTCATGTTATCTTGTGGCTGTGTGCTATTGTTTCTCCTGCTGTGGCTGGCTGCTATTGCTAAAATTTGAATTTGCGCGCGCGAGGTTTTATATATTGAATTATTTCATTTCAATGCCGTCAAATATTAGTTAAAATCAACAATTCAAATTTTGGATAAACACATCATAGTAAATACTGGGTTGCACTTGCCATTTGTTTGACAAAACTGGAGAAAGCATGTTTGAACCCACATTGTATATTATATATATTATAAAACAATATGTGAATATGAATAATATTTACATTGCTGATTGCTACAAGCCTATTATTAGCCAAAACATGAAAATTATTTGAGAGCATTAAACTTACAATTACAATGTTATCTATCTGAATCATAAAATTGTTAACCCAAAATGAATTGATTATAATATTAGATTATCAGTTCAGTGCATATTTCTTGGTTTATAGCATGTAAATGTTGACTTTAAATTAATATTTAACCCATTGGCATTGAGCTGGAATGTGCCCCAGTGTGCCCTACTTTTTTTTCACTTGTCTAACGCCAGTTTTGTCACTCATGTCTAACCAGGGTCTTAGCTAGGATTTTAGATCTTGGGTGTGTTTCAAAATGACCAGGGTGTACACATGTCAATTACCTTGAATAGCCAAATTCACGGTTCTAGTTATGCTCGCCAACAACAGACAATGCGTGTGGTTGTTCTATGCTTTGCAACCAAATACAAGGCGAGCATACACTCGTATTGCGCACTGACATTAAAATATTAAGTTATTTCAGCAACTCTTGGGCCCAGAATCTTGGGGGTGTATTTAAAACCATTTTAACACCATAAGGTTCCCATTACCCATCAAAGACATTAAAACACCACAGATCAGTTTTGACAATTTCAACAACTACAGTAGAGTTTACAAACTTTCTTATGATGTAAATAGGAAGAAATTCTGTGTTGTTGTAAGCAGTAACACCTTATTTTATGAACCTACATGGCCTTATATAAATAATGAAGCCGCATTTATTTTATCTAGCCGTGTTTTTCCATTTTTGGCCGCAATAACACGGTCAACACGGCCCTCTAGCCAAGACCCTGTGTCTAACCCTGTATATATGTGTGATATATTGTGCCTGTTTATGTGATAATGGCATGGCTGGACAGGAGGTTTTAATCCAGGATGGTGTTAATATATAGACGGAATACACCCCGCCTCTTCGCCTGGCTGGGATGATAGAGTGCTTGTATAAGAATTTCTCGTCCTGGCAGATGCAATCCCGGCAACAAATAATGGGATCCTGCCTAGGCCAGAAAGAAGTAGTATAATTCACTTTACCGTAAACAGTTGATAGAGTTCATATTGCAAGCCAGATGAGATGGGGTGTTAACGGGATATCACACTAGGCCGGACATTGCATAAGCTGCATTGTGCCACAACTTTATTGTTTTACTCCTTCTAATGTCAGATGATTTTACCTGTCAGTGCTATCACTCAACAAGTTACTGAAACAAGTAGCACTTATCTCCAATACAACTGAGGTTAAATCATAACCATATGAATGTTTTCTGTAATGAGGCAATAGCATAAATCATGGTCCCACAGTCAAAATGTCAAATTTTGACCCATGAAGTTGCATCGCACCCTTTATTGTATTCCTGTCTAATGCCAGACAATTTTATTTGTGAGTGGGAGAGTGATGGTGGTTAATTGGTTAAGGATGCCAAGTTATATCATTATGCTCTCAATAAGTAACAGAGTTGTAACTTAACACTTGCCCAGGGCAAGTGAATATCATTGCCACAAAAAGCTGGGCATCTTCAAGTTTATGTTTTCATTGCCAGATAAATTATTTATACAGTGCATGTTGTACTTGTGCATGGATTCAAATTTTATTTTTTTTGTGGGCCACAGCTAGGTCTGAAGCAGTACGTATAACATAGCCATCTAGAGCAGTGGAAGAATGTGTCGACATGTTGTCCCCTTAATTTATAGCTCCTACCTAGGTACCCCAGTGGCCATTGTCTGATGGCAAGTGAATTTTATTCAGGGCAACTAATTTTCATATCCAACTTGGCAAGTTGAACTTGCCCTGATGACAAATGGTCAAAAAAGTAAAGTTATACCACTGACTACTGAGTAAAGTATATGAGCTACAGTATCATGGTTATGAAAACTCTGGAATAAGGTATGCAGTTATTTAAAAAAAAATTACATTATCCCTCATCAATATGTCTGCAGGTTGTTGAAGAAGTTCGAAGGAGCCTCAATCAACCCGAAGAAGCAGAAGAAAGCGCATACATGAGGAATTGTGAAAAGCAGCAGCTGATTGACTAATTGGACCCACTTATTTACTATGGCATTTCAAAAGGAGTTATGAAGCCACCATGTGAACAGTGATCTGGTAATTAAATCTTATCATTTTGTTTTTTGATTAATTAGAGTACCAACATTGGATTAATTAGCACCGACATTAGGTGTCCTTAACAGAAAATAATAGGAATGAAAATTGCATTTTGGTTTATACTGTACCAGTAACTATTAAATGATATGAAAATCAAAATTGCATTTTTTAACTCTCAAAATATCACAATGCTTTTATTAAAAATGTAACTTAATTAATATTATTTTTTAATTTTTTAATCTATAGAAAGTACTTCACCTAATGAAGAACATTTAATTCACACTTCAAATCAAAAAGTAAACCTGCTAAGAGCAAACTGGACATCATAAACTTTGTTGAGGTGAGGTTATACTGTAGTTTCATTTTATAAAATTCATTTAGTAAGGCCTGAATCAAATTTAGTGTATGTATACATCTTTTTTTAGCTTTCCTATAGTTGAGATAAGTTAATATGGGCTAACAAAAACTATCTGCCAGTGTCTCTTGTTCCATCCATCATAGTATTTCGCTATGTCTATAACCCCAGGGGATAGGTTGTTAGTGAAAACATAAGCTGTTAATTAATGAGGGTTGTGTAGTTGTTACTGGTCAAAACTATTTTGTGTTTTTTTTTCCACAAAAGGAAGCAGACACAGCCTTGACTACCTGGCTACAAATGAGGCCCGCTGACGTACTGTATCAGGGCTGATCATGACATGGAGCTATTGGCAACATTCGAGAATAGCGAAACTGCAAAAGCCATCATTTACTTCCTGATGTTGTTCTACTGTACCTGCTCGACTTAGACTACCCATCCATACTCGGCAGTCTGACATGGTAAAGGCTTTTCAAGAAATTGAACAATATTGCTACGTGTGAGAACGTTTACATTTATTTATCAGTAATTACTTTAACCTATTCATGTATAGCTGGTAAATATATTATTTTAAACGTTCTTAATTGTTTTTATATTGTAGGACGACAAGTGACAACAGCAAAAAATCATGCCAAGATTATTATTCTAGTTTCATATTGTCATTTAAGAAAAATATTCTTAAAAGCCATGCACACCGGATCGAACTAGAATAGTTTTCTTGGCAGGATTTCAATTCAAGATAATTTTTCTAATTTTGTCCCATGGGTAAGTAAAATTTTCTTATTAAGATTATTTTTCTTATTTCAAGAATACGTTCTAGCAAAATTTTCTTATTACTAGAAAATAATTCTTGGGAAACTAAGAATTTTTTTCTAGAAATAAGAAAATTTTGCTAGAACGTTTTCTTGAAATAAGAAAAATATTCTTGATAAGAAAATTTTACTTACCCACGGGACAAAATTAGAAAAATATTCTTACCAAGAATTTTGTTCTAACCAAGATTAATTTTCTTATTTTGAGAAAAATTTTCTTGAAATCTGATTCTTACCTAGAATATTTTACTTACCCACGGGACAAGTAAAATTTTCTTAAAACAAGTAATTTTGTGCTTAAAATAAGTAATATTTTCTTAAAACAAGAAATTGATTTTTTGCAGTGTAGGTAGAGTGTAGATTAGATTTATACACTTCTGCTAATAGAAATTAATCGAAAATTTATAACTGAACGTTAGATGCCTTCGGTAAAAAAGTATTAAATAATAATACAAATACAAACCTTCGATTTAAAAACATAACTATACAGTATACCAAGTAACTATCCGCATACAAATGAGTAAATACACAATAGACATACCTTTGAAAACAAATTCCATGTATTTTATTAAGTTTTTGGAACTTTATAAGTAGAAAATTTGAATAAAAATCCTTTCCTCTTTGAATATTTGCTCTCAAAAGATCGAACTTAGCGCTTGTTATCAACCAATCTCGTTCCCCGAGCCTGCGATCCTCGGGAAGGAACGCGAAGCTCTGGGATAATCCGTTTCAGGGAGGAATCTGATTGGCCGTTGAAATGGATGCGTAGTTCAATCTTAGCCAGAATTCCTGGCTTCCGGCAACGGATTATCCCAGAGCCTCGCGTTCCTTCCCGAGGATCGCATGCTCAGGGAACGAGATTGGTTATCAACCATCTGCCTCGCCCCCAGGCGCTAATAAAAATTTTCATGCGAATCACTATATGAAAGGTTTACATGAAGTAGTGCATCATGACGAACAAGCGCAGGGAGTTATGGGCTTGAGGCATCGAAAATTGAGGAGCGCTGCGCCTGGGAGATCTTGTGCCGTTTCTTGCAAAATTCGTCTGTTTCTTGCAAATCGTGGTTTTTCGACAGTTTGGGGGCTTTTTTCGCCATTTTCTTTGAGGAAACAACATTTCAAATCGTTCAATTAAACATGTGATTACAGTCAGATGATATTTGATATCTTTTAACGCTTTGAATGATTCCAAGATGTCAACACTTGAAGAGTTCTACGGGGCTGTAGAAACCGGTTTATATAATAAATTTACAAGGTATGGAAAAATGACAATGAATTTTTATCACAATGAGCTATTTATTTTAAAAATATACAGTTACAAGACGTTTTTTTAAACAAGGGAGCGATGAATCTTTATTTTGAATTGCATTTGCAAGATTCGTCTCAGGATTTCAGTTACGTGCTTATTTACATGCAGTATGTTTGATTTTCACGATGTAAACGATCGGCAATATTTTGAATAATTCAGGTAAGGATAGCTTTATTTCTTTCTGGTGATATACATGAAGGGATTTATATTTAGATCTGTTGTTTACTTGTATGTTCGACAGCTATTATACAAGATCGGCCAGGCGCTAACCAGAACGCTCATATCCCAATCTCCTTTGCGCGCCTATAATGTGACCCACTACTTCATGTAAACCTTTCATATAGTGATTCGCAAATTTTTTAATTAGCGCCTGGGGACGAGGCAGATCAACTATATTAACTATGTATCAACAGATCGAATTACTACAACACGTGATATATTCTAAGTATGTTAATTGGTTGAAAAATAGTTGAAATTCTGGAACTTCCACTTGTCGCAAATTATATTCCCGCAACAGAACATTCCACAAGTTCAAATTACAGATTAAATACGCTGCAAATAAAATATAGATTAATTTGACGAGAAAAACTCGCTGACAATTTCTGGCTACATTCGATAGCCGCGTTTGCGAGTCAACAATAAGAACCCGATATACTGGTAATATACAGCAACCTGACTTGGCAACATACGAACAGTGGCGTAGCCAGCCCGACAATTTAGTCCCGCTATCCAAATTCAGAATTATTATCATTATTCATTTCTTTAGAAATTGATTGTTTTCACAGTCAATGAACACGAAAATATTTGCATAGCGGGACTAAATCGTCGGGCTGGCTACGCTACTGCATACGAATGAAAAAGCGCATCAAGCAGCTAAACCTTGTGATGATTTTACACGAAATTGCAGCTCTTTCACTATATGAATTTGTATAGCAAATACCGCCCTAATTCTACAGTATTTGAATGAATAAATCCTGTAGATTGGAATATAGGTTAGAGATCCTTGCATGGGATATTTCTGTGCCTCCATGAAAAATGTGTAAGTTGAAAAGGCGTGCTTAATTAGCAAATCTTTTTTGAAGGTGTGTTACAAAAGCACACCTTTCACCAAAAGATGTCCTTAATTTAACAACGTCAAAGGTGGGTTATTTTAAGGTGTGTTATTTTAAGGTGTGTTATTGAAAAAAGATGTGCTATTTTGGGGCACAAAAAAAGATGTGTTAGTAGAAAAAGGTGTGTTATTGCAGAAAGGTGTGCTATTTTAAAAGGTGTGTTATCTTCCAAAGGTGTGTTATCTTTCAAAGGTGTGTTAATTGAGCACACCTTACTTTATTCGAAAGGTGTGTTAGCTAAAGGTGTGTTACAGAACTCACCTTTTGCGTACACTGTGTTCTGCTCAGCACACCTTGGTGTGCTTTGTAGCACACCTTGGTGTGCTTTGCAGCACAGCTTTGTGTGTTCAGTGAGAAGAAAACACACCTTGTGTGCTATTTTATCACACCTTTGTGCAGTACCTTTTTAACTATATATCTGGGGGGGGGGGCAATTGCCCCCCCCCAGGGAAAGAATTTGCCCCCCCCAGTAAAGCCATTTTTGCCCCCGAAGAGCGACGCAGAATTGCTCATGATTGCTGTCAGAATTGCAGCTGATTTACTTGATAATGAGATTATGCCCTTCCATAGCCTCCTCCACAGCCATCTTGTGTGTAATTCATATTGTTCTTCACCGATCGTTTCATAATAGCGATAGATTTTATGCAAACAATCCGATAAAATGCTTGTTCCAAGAAGAATAGATTTAGTTGATTTTTAACTGTTAAATACATGTATGCATCATCATAGCATGAATATTTCTTCTCAGATCTATTCTGGATCGTATGAAAAAGCAACGCAATTTTGAGAATGCGGAAATGGTGACTCATAGAACCTAAAATGATTTAAATGCAACATTTCTGATCAAAATCACATTGGGATTCCCCCCCCCCCATCACAGAGAGGAAATAAGGTGACACTGACCCCTCCTCCTATTTTTCAAGGTGACTTTTCCAATTTATTTAATTCCGAGTAGAAATGTCTGGAAAAATTCATGTCTTCGATGTACTTTATAATCTTCGGAATTTTGCTAGATTTCACCCCCAAAATGCTTGAAATCGCAATTCAGGGACCCTAGATTTCAAAATTTTCCCGGGGATGCATGCCCCCGGACCCTCCTAGACTAGATAGTCTCACGCTTAGACGTGCATGAGGTTGCACCCCCCCCCCCAAAAAAAAATATATATTAAGATCTGGCTACGCCACTGGTTATAGGTGTACGATTATAGCTACAAAGAGTTGAAGTTATTGTTTAAAGTAAAATATAGATGAAGTTAATAAATTAAAGTTTTACAAAATCTCCCTTCAGACTCGCGCGTTTGCCAAACCTCGACGGCTCATATTTCTCGTTCTTCCTTTTTTTCCATGTTTTGCTCCCCCTCCCAGTGAAAATTCCTTAAAAAAGGCACTGCCTTTGTGTTAAATAACACACCAAGGTGTGTTGTTTAGCACACCTATTTTTAAGAGGATATATATATATATATATATATATATATATATATATATATATATATATATATATATATATATATATATATATATATATATATATATATATATATATATATATATATATATATATATATATAT